GTCTTTGAGAAGGCCTATTTGGGTTGACATAATTTGGTGTTTTATTTGCTTCTTGGATTCAAGGATGCAGTTCTTTCCATAGGTTTTGGAAGTACTCACTGACTATTTGTTTGAATATGCTCTCTATTCCCTTCTCTCTCTCTTCTCCTTTTGGTCTACTCATTATTCTTATATTGCTTTTTCTGATGGTGTCAGATAGTTCTTGTAGAGTTTCTTCTTTTTTTATCTTAAGTCTCTTCGTCCTTCTGCATCATTTCCAAATTTCTGTCTTCAACATCACTAATTCTTCCTCCATCCAGTCAGCTCTATTTCCTAAGCTCACTATTTCATTCTTCATCTCTTTTAATGTGTTCTTCATCTCCAGAAGTTCTGTTTGGTTCCTTTTTTTTTTTTTTTATGGTTTCAATATCCTTGGTAAAAGTATTCGTTTTGTTCATTTATTTTGTTTCTAATTTCTTGGAATTGTTGGTCAGAATTTTCTTTCATCTAGTTGAGTTTTTCAGAAGTGCAATCCTGAATTCTCTGTCATTTAAATCTCCTACTTCTATGTGTTTGAGCTTATTTCCTGGAGATTTTTCACTTTCTTTCTGAGTTGCCTTGTCACCTTGGTTGTTCATGGTGTTTGATGGACTATTTTTCTGCCTGGGTGTTAATGGGAATACTTTGCTTTTTCTTTTTAAAAACGAAAAATTGTTATTATATCTCTTTAGGAGGTTGATAAGAAGAGGTTTTTCTTTTGATTTCTAGTAGATGACATCCAAGCCTCTTATATCTCTGCTTTGAGGCTATAAAGCCTCTCCTCTGGTGAGCTATGTGCCTTTTCTGCGATCAGGTCCCTCAGTCCCAGGGCTCCACCCTATGGAAAGGTGCAGTGGAAGATGGGGGGTCTGAGTCTGAAGAGGTCCTGAAGTCCCATTACTGCCCCAAGAGTCAGATGCAATGTTCTGCTTCTTCCTTCTGACTCAGTCTCACTAAGTGGGTGTGGGATTGATTAAGAAAGGTCTGCTGTGTTTGTGGCTGTTTCCCTTCCCTTATTGCTGTTCTCCAGGTTTCAGCTGTTTTCCTTTGATACCGCCGCTCCTCTCTCTTGTACCGTCTGTAGTATATGTTTAGTACTGGTTGCGCAAATTCCCCTGGGCTCAATGATGTTAGCTCTGAGAGGATATGGGGGAGGGAAGGACATGCTCTGGATTGGTGGAAGGACAGGGTGTGTCCAGGCTCTGTGACTCAGCTTCCTGCTTGGCAATGGTGGTTGCTAAGCCACAGCTGTTGCCCTTCCATACTTAGTCTCTGCCCCGCTCTCTGCCTTGATCCCTGGGCTCCACTACATGGAATATGCTGATCACTCAGGCAGTACTGCTATGGGTTTCAAAGGAAGACCCGGATGTGTTATGTCCCCTTCCCCTCCTTCTGCAGGGAGTTCTGGCTGCATAACACAGCTCCTTTGTTTCACACTGCTAATATGCCTCCCAGTTTCATGTGGAACTACCCACCTTTGGATGCTCTGATGAGCAGATCTCTCAGATGTGCTTGTGTGCAGGTTGGGTGTTATTTTTTGAGTTGCAAATGTTCAGTTTGTTGTTATTTCAAAGGGGAGAGATCTGGGGAGACCTCTCACAGCACCATGCTTCTGACATCACTTTTTCACATGAACTTTAAAATGAGCTTATCTAGAGCCTTCCAAAAAATTTTATGGGATTATACTACAGGTATAGTAGAAACACTGACATCTTGGTATGTTCATTTAGTTGTTTATTTTTGTGTCTTTCATAAGTATCTTAAGGTTTTCATCATGTAGGTGTTGCATATTTCTTGTAGAAAGTTTATTTCTAGGTATTTTATCTTTTTAGTTGCTATTGAATGAGGCTCTTCCATATTATTTTCTAACTCCACTTCAACAATCTATATACCTAGCAACAAAGTTACACTCTGAACTTTGCTCCACATAAGACATCTCAAACTCAGTATCACACACTTTCCTGCCCAGAGTAGTCTCATGCTCTTATTCACATTTTGACCTAATCTAGACTTCCATTTCTTTGATTTTTTTATTGTCTTTCAGTTTTCAGTCCTCTTCAGACCTTAGTTTACTTCTTGTCACTTCTTGGACTCTATTTCAATTCACTTAAATTAACTAACTCTCTTTCACAGTTTCCTCGTTTAGTTTCAACAGTCGAACAGGCCTTCAACCGAGGCTCTACAAACTTCTTCCAGTGCTTAATATAACAAGAGAAATGGCATACCCATGGAAATTAGAAACCACATATCTATCAGGATAAATCTTTGGGCCCCCAAAACTTCTCAGTAATCCCTTTACTACTCTTTGGTCAGCTTCCATTGATCTTAGTATGCTATAGCAAGTGCTCCTCAAGATCTCTACCTGACCTCTCAATTCTTTTACATCCAAGAGGACTTTACCAAGGAAATAAAAATCACCATTTGTGAACTTCCCAAATCTTCCACAAACAAACTTATTTATGTACAAAATCATCCTCATCTCTTTCTCTCCAATTCTATTCCTATTTCTTCTAGAATCTTGACTCTTTTGTATCTATTTTCTATGTACCTTCTCCACTGACTCCTTCCCTTTGGCATTATAAGCAAGCTAAAATCATTCCTACTTAGAACAATCCTCTTTTGACACCACCTTTTTATTTTAGTAAATATCTTCTTTATTGTCTCTCCTTCTCATTCTAGTTTCCTGTGAGAATACTGTACGCTTACTAGTTCTACTTTTTTTTTTAAAACCTCTGTTCACTCAACAATGTACATATTGATTGTTCTAAACACTCCTCTGTCATTCCTCTTTTTACTACAATTACTGACCTCTTTGTTGCAAAATCCATTGAATGCTTTCCAGGTCTCATCTTAGCTAGGAAGAGATTTTTAGATAAATAGACATCAGCAGATGTCAATAACAATGAGGGAGGCAATACCCCAGAGAGCACAACAGAATTAGGTCACTAAAGCCAGATCATTCTATCTCAGTCCTTCAATCAACAGAAATATTTTACCACATCCTCATAAGATTGTATCTCATAAGATAATGCAAAAATGTAAGTATTCTCCTTGGAGAAGACTGCTAGCCTGCCTGTCTCTGACAAGGAGGATGTGAAAATAATTACTTGTTCAAGCTGATCTATGAACCAAGAACCTTGGGTATCTATATATAGATGCATAATGACGTCTGGAAATTTTCGTAAGTTAGTAATTATTTTCTCTAGTTGAGGGTCTGTGGGTAGGGACATATGAGAAACAGTGTGGATCCTACACATGGCGGCATATGTACCCACAGGAAAGAACAGCTCTGCCTTTTGCTGTAGATGCCTACTCGGGCAGTTCACCTAAAAAGAGAGTTGTACATTTTCTTTCTTTAGTTTTCTACTTCCCAAGACCGGGTATGGAGGTTCAGAGAAATAATGTTACCCACTGTTGTCAGGGAAAGTGCTAGGGGTTCTTGATGAAATGTTTTAATTATTAGCCTCTACTTATGGAATGGCCAGCACTGGTCAGGCTTTGCAAAATTCAGGTTCAATGTGGCTGAAATAGGAACAAAGTTTTCTGCCTAAAATAACCTAGAGCACTAAAAAGCAAGGAGGAGAGCCAAGTCAAAGTCAAATTGAAATTGAAAAAGCTGAAGTTCAAATGACACAAAACCAAATCCAACTTATGAAACAAGGTGCCAGAACAAAGAATCAGAGTGGAAAACTAGTTAGAGATGGAGCAGGGTAGCTTGCTTAATGGACCGGAGTGGAAAATAGCATACATTTAGCAGTCAACTATTTGCTAATATAACCCAGGCAGAGCATTATTGGTGGTATGCCAATAACAGGGAACTAAGGAGGAGTTTTTCTTTTTTTTGGTCAAGAAGACTCATATTTAGTGAGATGTTTGAAGAACAGCATAAAATCAACAGATCCAGGTTTTGAAATACAGTACTTAATTAAATTAGTAACATGACATTCATAAACAAAAATATAATCTAAAATCTGGAAAAAGAATGTGGGTGAAATACTTAGACTAGAAATGGGAAAATGACATAAAATGACTACTTAAAAGCACTGTACTACAGAATGGAACATCAAGTCCATAGGAATACATACCTTTAGAAGAATAAGGAGGGAGAGAAGGTAGTAAAGGAGCAGGTAAAGATACAGGAGAGAGGCTAGGAGAGGCAAGAATAGTGTGTATCACAAGCTAGGGTGGAAGAAAATTTCATAAAAGTAAAGTCGACACAGTCAAATAGAAGATGAAGTGGTTTTTTAGCCACCAGATTTGACTGGAAGGAAGTTAGGAGTAATCTCCAAGAAAATCATTTTAGTAACGTTAAGTAGAGTAGGGGTCATAACGCAAAGGTGAACAAAAGAATTAAAATCAGGGCTATAAATTTTGGACAAGTTTAAAGAGTTTTCTAATAAAAGAAAAAAAAAAGGTAGGTAAAAATGGCAAAAGATTTTTGATATGGAAAGGAGAAGGGTAAAGGGGGTCATATATATTGTGATGGAAGGAAATTTGACTGGGTGGTGAATACAATGCAATACACATATGATGTATTATTGAATTGTACATTTGAAATTTATATAATTTTATTAACAAATGTCACCCCAATAAATTTAATAAAAAAAAGATCAATAGGAAACTAATAAATAGTAAAAGAACAAAAACAAAATCAAAAGAGAATGTGTGAATAAAAAATAAAAGGAAAACACTATATGGAGATTTGCAACATCTAGGTATTTATGGATATTCAAACTAATACCTTCAAAATAATTTTCATGTTGTGTAAAAATTTTTAATAATAAGCATATATTATGTTTAATTAAAAAAAATAAGAGGGCCATTTTCACTTTGGAAAAAAAACCAAATATGAACTGAAATTTTAAAGTCTTCAGTATTGTTTAGATTCCAGAGGGAGCTATGTGGAGCACACTGAGTTGAATATTTCAAAAGTGACTATTTCCTTTCACTCAGTAGCAAATACTTAAATGATTGCTTCTCACCTGGATGAATGTCTAGTGGGCTGTCTCTTTCCATCATCCACTGCTCTTCTTGCTCCAACTGAGTGATCACCTTTGGCTTATAAAGTTGATGCCCTATTCATAGGAAAAATGTATCTCAGAAATTTATACTGGGAATGAAAATTTCTTTCAGGCTAATTTCCAAACTTTTTAGCCTTTAAGGATCTCTGGATTTGGAAAAGGGAGGCTTCAAAGGCAGCAAAATAAAAGTACCCATCTAAAACTCAACAAAGTGAAGACTTTTTACCTGAAGAGAAAGACCAGGGAACAAAGGTCTCTGTCTACAAAACTGATTAGCATTCTTCTGTCCTGGCCTGAACCACATTCGCAAAGGCTACGAAAGTTTTCACTACTTGAGAAAATAAGAGTAGTGACCCCTTACCCACGGTTTCACCTTCTGTGGTTTTAGTTACTCATGGTCAACTGTAGTCCAAAAATATATTAAATGAAAAATTCCAGAAACAAACAATTCATAAGTTTTAAATTGTGGGCTGTTCTGAGTACTGTGATGAAATCTTGTGCCATCCTGTTTTGTCCTGCCTGGGACATGAATGATCCCTCTGTCCAGCTATCAACAGTGTAGATGCTCTGTGCCCATTAGTCATTTAGCTATCAGGTTATCAGTTCGACTGTTGGGATATCACACTGCTTGTATTCAAGTAACTCTTATTAACTTAATAATGGCCCCAAAGCATGAGAGTAGTGATGCTGGCAATTCAGATATGCCAAATAGAAGCCATAAGTGCTTCCTTTAAGTAAAAAGGTGACAGTTCTCAACTTAATAAAGAAAGAAAAATAATTATATCCTTAAGTTGCTTAGATCTATGGTAAGAACATATCTTCTATCTGTGAAATTGTGAAAGAAAAAGAAGTTCATGCTTGTTTTGCTGTCACACTTCAAACTGCAATAGTTATGGCTACAGTGTATGTTAAGTGCTTAGTTAAGATGAAAAAGCATTAAACTTCTTCATAGGTACGATTGGACAGGAAAAAAACAGTATATGTAGGGTTTAGCACTATTCATAGTTTCAGGCATCCCCTGGGAGTCTTGGAACATATCCCCCCGCCCAGGTAAAGGTGGGATACTGTAAACCCAACAGAATGGTTTCCAGTTTTACAGGGACACCACCCTTACCCAGTGTGACCAGATTCCTGTAGTTTTCCAGCATCACATCTCGGTAGAGTTTCTTTTGAGCAGGGTACAGCTGGTCCCATTCCTCTCTGGTGAAGTCCACAGCCACATCCTGGAATGTCAGTGATTCCTGAAACATCAAATACATCCCTGTTCAGCCAGAAACCATTTCTTACTGAGGACCTTAGGGGAAGGGGCAAAAGTACAGCAGCAGACAAATGTTAGGATGTCCGAGACTTATGCTAAGAGTCTTAAGGGGGCTCTGAGTAATCCAGGTCAAAATTTTTGAAACAACAATTAGTGTCTATCCTTCTATCATCTTTTACGACATATATAAAAACATGCATGAAATAATGCTTGCTTTTAAGTTTTTAAAAATCTGTTGTGAGAAAGACTCTCATATCATCTAAACAAAAAATAATATAGAAAAGATGTCAATGAAGAGGTGACATTTGAGAAAAGACTTGAAAAAACAGTACAAAGGTCCTAAGGCAATAGTGTTTGTGGCATGTTCAAGAAAGAAGAATGAGGCCAAGCTTGGCTAAAGTAGAGTGAGCAAGGAGTAGAAATAAATGATAAAGTCAGAAAAGTAACAGGTCCAGATTTTAGATTTTCTGGGACTGTTTAGGCCATCATAAGGATGTTGGTTTTTACTGTGAGTGAAACAGGAGCCACACATTTTGAGCAGAGGAATGACACGATCTGATTTACCATTACCCTGCCATTTCCTGGGCTACATTTTTTGAAATCATCTTTTCTTCCTTTGACTGTACCCCTCTTGCTCATCTCTGCTGTTTCCCAAAGTAAAGCTCTCAAAACCATCTATTTTTCTCCATCTTCTAGTTTTAAGCTATCATTTTCTGTCATCTACAATACAGCGACAGCTTCCTAAGTGGTTCTCCCCTTTCCATTCTTGACTCTCACAAATTCACTTATTACATAGTATGCATCAGGGTGATTTTTAAGTGGAATTCAGTTACTTATGTTAGTATTCTATTTAAATTCCCTCAAAAGCTTTTCACTGCACTTAGAATAAAACCCGAATTTTTCATGGCCACATGCGTGC